GCCGGGGCAGGCCCTTGTCGCGTCCCCGGTTGCTCCGGTCCTGCCGCTCTGAACTTCCCTCCCCAGGAGGGGGGGAAGCAAGGGGGGGGGGAAGACAGGGAGAACCGCTGCACCCCGGATCCAATCTTTAAAGCGCAAGCAAAGGAGAAGTGAAGATTATTTCAGGCAGTTAAATAAAACCAAAGCACTCGCTGGATATTACTAACAAAAAAAAAAAAACCACCCAAAAACGCAGAGCTCAGCCACTTCCCTTCCTTAAAGGAAAAAATTCATCATGTTTTGAGTCTGTCTCCTGCCAGCTCTTGGCCAAAAGGGATCTGAGGAATTATAAACCGGGAGAAGTAGCAGACTTGAACTGAAATGCCCTCTTAGTCTCACTTTACAGAGATAGCGGAAGTCACAGTAATGAAAAAATGAGTGTGGAAAATAAATTGAGTGCAAAAGGCAGGAGTTTCAGATAGCTTGGAGGATAGGGTGTAAGTACCGTAATATAAACAAATGGCTCATGCTGGGTGCATTAATAAAGCTGTGCATTGTACAGTCTTATACTGTGAAATTGCTGGTACTGATTTGCTACATCCCCGCTGCAGCTATGGCTGTTTACTGGCTGTTGTCTTAAGCTTTTTTTCTGCAAACATTTTTGCCTAGATGATATTTTGTAGCTACTGCCTCTCAGGGTTAGATCCAAAGTGTCCTCTTCTGCTAGCCAGTACAGTATATATATATATATTTGACCGATATGATTCCGTCTGTATAAAAAAATGCACTTAAAGACCAAATGAGCAGTTTGACAGGTTACTTCCAGTAGACTGCTGCAAAAGTGTATTGTCCGTAAGGCAAAGAAGTGGTTATGGTTCACTTAATCCTACACAGTGAAATATAATTCATCTTCTATTAGGGTTTTTCTGATTCCCCTTTCTCCTTGTCAAAAGAATGTATCTCTGGTTGGTGATGAATTTGGTGACTGTGATGACCAATTCCATCTCTAATTTACAGGATAGTTTTGTGCCTTGATCTTACATCACTATACGCACTTGTATAGTATCCTTCACATGAAAGATTTCATCTGTGCACATGTGCACTTGGCAGCTTGAAAAAACAAGTTAATAGGCGTTAGGATTTGAAACGTGCAAGTGGTTATCATAATTTCAAGCTGATGTTTGAACAAACAAGGAACTGAAAATGCAGTCACACACACACGAATGTTCTCCAGTACCTCTGACCTTTTAATGGGTTTAATTTCCAATTTGCATCGTCCCTTTACGTTTATGGTCATCACTCACAGTTTTAAATTCTTCATGAAACAGAAGTGACGTCTGTAGAAAGGAGATCTTCCACGTGCTGCCCCCTCCTTCTTCTGATGGCACAGTTGCAGCTTGTAACTGTTTTCACTATGAACATAACAGCAAGCGTGTAGACCCTTTGGATAGGTAAATGGAGTTACTTTGCTGTATAATATAAATCTTCTAAATATATTTGCTGTTTTTGTTGAAGCTCTTCAAAAATACTAAACTGAGGATGGATTTTACGTTGGAGTTCAGTGCCATCTTGTGGCTCGAATGCCTGTGTTCCTTATGCGTCAAAAGCAAGAAAACGGTCTCGGGGTCAGAGAGAAAAGCTGCAAGTATTTTATAGATAGTGGTGGGTGTTGTTTAAATACATTTTTAAATACTTTTAAATCTGCTTTTTTGGGTGCATGAAGAACTATGCCTGAATATTTGGATTTGTCTTTTCATCGGTATTAGCACTTTGTTAAATAGGAAAAAGAACCATTTGACTGAGCAGTTAGGTTGATCATCTCATCTGTACGGTGCCATGAAAGCTAGGGAAGTGTGCAGCTCATTCATTCCAGAGCGCACAGCTTTGTTGCTCACCCAAAGTGCTGGTAGCAATTGTCTGTGTGCCTCGGCGTTCAGTAAGTGAACATGCATTCATGCTTTCAAACTCTCTTAGACTTCAAAACGGGGAGGCCTCATCTAAACTGTCTGCTGGGGATTGTCTCTGGTCCCAGTTTCCAAACTATGCTCAGAAAATTAATAGCAAAGGTCTAGCTGGCCTAAGTCCAACCCATGCCAGGAGCCACTGAACAGGGCAGATGTAGCGACAGTACCCAGTTGCAGCCTGAGCAACTGCTTAGTTTACTAGTGTAGGCTTGTATCTGTAGTCTTCTGCAGTTACATTGAAGCTGGTGGGCATGATACTTCATGTCTCGCCTTGCAAGAAAAACGCCAGGAAAGTCCGTGTGGTCCCTTGACCTAGGAATTGGAAATGCCTGCACAGACTTTATACTAGGAGGCCCAGTCTTGTGACTTATTTACACTGAAGCCTCACTCACTTCACTGTCCCAGGACACATGCCAGAAATGGTCTCTACAGGGAACATCGAAGTCACTGTAGTTATACATTTAAACTTAAATGTGTAAGACATGTGATGCTTGATGTCTGGCCTGGGCTTCAGACACAATGGAAATTTGCTACATGCTGCCTTTCTCCTGCGGTGGATTTAGCCCATAAATATTATCTGAAAGCCACAACATGAATCCCCACAATCTGATTTTTAACTGACGTTGCCAGAAGCAACAGTGTGGTGCCTGCACTGAACTGTTGAACTCAAAATGAGGAGGCCCTTAATTTATATTTTTGGTTTTATTTACTTCTCTTCTCTGGAGCATCCTTTCTTCAGGTTATACGCAAAAGCATGAAGAGAGCCAATTTCAGGAACAGTGGAAATCAAGAGAGGAGCTATACATAGGAATTCTTTTCTCTTCCTGCTTAGACCCATGCATCAGGGGAAACGAGAATCTGGTCAGCATCACAGTACCGTGAGTGCCGCAGAAAGAGGAATTGTAGCAAGACATGAGCGCAGTGGGTACTACTCTGTGGAAGTGCTTAGACTTCCTTCTTGAGGTAGTGGTTGCGAGCAGAGATGGAAACTCTGGAAAGGGAAAAATGAAAATAGGCTCTGGGTTGGGGTGGCTTTCTCCCCTCCCCAGGGGATTTTGTACAGGCTTGAGTCTATATGCAGGCATGGTCTGGAAGGGACCAGGGAGTGTAGCCAGCTCACATATTTTAAGGCTGAATTTGAGCCTTATGTTGTGATTTTTGTATATCCTGCTCAAATTTACATGATATGCTAAATTATACTTCTTAAGCAAGCTGAAACTTCACTTCCAGTAATCCTCAAATGTAAGCCCTCTGACCAGAGAATGTATTAGTTATGCTGCACCACATATATCTGTATGATTGATGAGGAGAGTATGAAGCAGGAGTAAGAAGACACCACTTCTTTGCTTTCACTGCTTGTGCTGGTGGTTTTGAGATAAAAATTCAGCCTTTTGCTTTTTACACGATTTAATCCAATTGACATTTTTTGCTCAAGAAGACAATTCCAGTACAATTACTGGAGATTGTTTCCAGATTATAGAGCCCCCTATTCTTTTTCCTAAGCAGATTTTGTAAAGGGCACATCTGTAATTCAGATAATTCGTGCTCAAGCCTAAATCTGTACCGAAAGCATGAAAGTCTAGCAGGGAATGTAATCTCTGTCCATTTTGTCGATGTGTAGGCAAGTAAGTACATTGCCTGCTGTGGCAGAGTGGCAACTCAAGTCCTGCATGCAGACTTGTACTGTAATGCTAGTAACAAGCATCCTGCAGTCCTCACCAATCCCCATGCAGGCAAGACTGTGAGTAAAGTAAGGAAAGCAGGAGCTAGCTAGGTATGAGCAGTTCACAGTCCACTGCTAAAAATCCTCTAAATAGCTGTGGGAAGACAGGCAGAAATGATAAGTATCCGGCTCTCCACGCTGAGAAGAGTTTCTGTCACGTATAGGAACCAGAACACTTGTTGCTCATCATGGTACGTTCATTGCTTTCCAGTGTCCCTGAAAAAAACCAGAATTTAACTCTCAGATCCTCTTGTGATCAGTGCTCTCAGCAGAGAAGCCAGACCGATCTACCTAGACACTGGGATACCGAGGTTCAAAAGAGGGAGTAGAAAAGACCTGTGTGTTTTCAAGCAGAGGTTCAGGCTAAATACAGCACAAGGGAAAGCACATCCCAAACAAGAAATGGCTTTATGATCTTAAAGAGCTATAGGGGACTCACTGGCATTGCTCTACCTGAGAATAAGTGAAACAAGGCAGAATCCAATGGCTGTTATTTTGTCAAGTTACTATAAAATGTGGGCTTTAGTAGCAAGACTATCAGAGTTACACTTGAACAGTACTGAGGAAATACAGTGTGGCAAAGTAAAATTAGACCACCATCAGACTACTAAAGTGCCCTCAGGTATCCAACTCACTCACATTAAAGACAGAGCAAGATATGAAGTTCCCCATCTTCAGGCTAAAACTTTTAGACCTAAAACTTTCCTCTCAAATGAAGAACTCTTCAGTAGCTATATGAAAAAAAAAGTGTTGACCTCATAACTACATGCCAGCAGTTAAGTGTCCGTCTCACCAATAATGCGTTTGCAGTCACTTCTCTCTGCAGAGTCCAAATTAAGCTGTCTCGGTTTCCTTCGTCCTTAGTTTTTAGCGGATGTGAGCACCTTGCAGTCTTTATCTACTAGGGAAACTGAGACGCACACAAAAGAAATGACTTGTCCAGGCCAGCAGGATAGCAGCGAATTCGGTCTTCATCTCTGAAGTCCAAAATGGTTCATGCTATCACTTAATTTGAACACTAGACAGTTCTTTCTCTATAGACTGTCACCTTGAGAGATTTCGTTTGACTACTGTGAGGGTAGTCAAACACTGAAACAGGTTACCTACAGAGATTGTGGAGTCTCCATCCTTGGAGTTATTCAAAACCCAACTGGACACAAAGCCCCGAGAACCTGCTGTAGTTGGCCCTGCTTTGAGCAGGGGGTTGGACCGGGTGATCTCCAGAGCTGCCTTCCCACCTCAGCTGTTCTGTGATTCATTTCTCTAAGGTGTATCGGCAGATCTGGAGAAGAGTATCATGAGGGTCTGACTGGCAGGACTTTGGTCTAGTGCTGGTCTACTCTCTAGTACTCAGCCCTGCGCACAAAACCAGTTTAGCACACCTGGTACTGACATGAGACTCAACATGAGACTTTAGGTCTTTTGCAATAGGAGCAGGGAATTTCTAAAGCAAATATACTGTGATTCATTAGTGGATTGCGTAACCTGCACTTTATTGCCAGCAAAGTAGATTTCCTTTAAAAGCCGTGATCTCATCCAGTTCTCTTTGTAGATTGGTTAGCTAAATTTAGAAACATCAACCTATTCCTTTAAATACAATGTTCATCATAATGATCTTCGTAAAGTGGTGGTGAGTCCTCTATATAGGGGAATCTGTGATCTAAGGAAACTGAAGCGATAACAAGATTGGAAGAAACCGATCTAATACTGAAAATCAAGAAAGGAAGATTGATGCTGGAAATTACTATCCTGTAAGTCTAGCAAACTTCTATTTTATATAAAATAACAATGAATATATGAAGAGAGAGAACATTTTTTTAATCCCACATGAGAACAGATCTATGAACAAAAGCATCATGGTTTTACAAAGAATAGCTATTGCTGTTGCTAGAATTTCACTGGTAGACCATGATGGGAAAAATGTAGGCAATAAAACCTATCTGGATAGTTGTTCCGTACAGTGTTTTATATTCCATCTCACTTACAAAATTAAGACATTCAATCTAGAAAATGAAATCTGTTATGGACTGAACACTGTCCATAAACAATGCATGAGATGATAAAACAGAAGCATAGGACACTCCAGGAATCTTGGTTACATCCAGACTTGGTTTATATCTTGATTTTGTGATCTATGAAAACAGTCAAGAGCAAGGTAATCACAATTCAGAACATTCTAATACCAGAGGAACTGAAGGGCAAAAAAAAAAAAAAAAAGGGAAACACAGGTAAAATGGAAGTAAGGAGAGAAAAGATGAGATAATGGGAAGAATTCCAAACTAATGGGATTTCTTCTTCCATTCTCCTTGTACTCTTCACAAAAGCACAAAACCTAGAAAAAAAAAAAGAGAGACAGAGAACTGGAATAATTAATTTTGTACCTCATCTTGGTTTTCAAGGCATGGCTGCCCTTAGGAGAAAGCTAACTGTTGTCGGAGATGACAGCTGTGGTAAGACAAGCCTCCTCTTTGCTCTGTGCCATGAACAGCTTCCCAAATGCTATGAGCCGACTGTGTTTGACACTTATGCCACTGACATAGACGTTGATGGGAAGGATATGAAGCTAATTCTCTTTGATGTGGCAGGGAAGGATGAAGCCACTTACCAAAATCTCCGCTCAGTTTTCTATCAGGACACGGACATTATTTTAATGTGCTTTTCCGTGGACAAGCCAGACTCACTGCAAAACATTCTTGATATTTGGATTCCAGAAATCCAACTCTTCTGCCCCACAGTACCTATTATTCTGGTGGCTACCAAGATCGAGCTAAGGGATGATGAAAGTATCAAGAAGAAACTAGCCACTCCAGGCAAAGAGCCAATTAGCACTGCAAAAGGAAAAGCTTTGGCTGCTAGCATTGGGGCATATGCTTACCTGGAGTGCTCTGCCAAGACAAAAGAAGGGGTTGATACAGCCCTGGAGATTATTAGCCAATGCGTGTTAAATGAGAAAAGGAGGAGAAGGAGGAGGCATCATAGGTCCTGCCGAATTTTGTAAGAAGAGTAAATATTATTTTGCTGTTGGATTTCATGATGTGGAAAGGTAAGTAGATGTCTTTGTTGCTGTTCTGTGGATGCTTTTTGGGCTACTCTTTATGTGATAGAAAGAAAAAAATCCTGCATCTGGCTGATGGAAAGTCTGCAAAGTCTCACAATTGAAAAGTTAGATTTGAAAAGTTAGATTTCCATGTTAAGAGATGGAGATGACCAAGTAACAGTTCTCCAGTGAGGTCCTTTGATCAAGGGAGATACACACCAGCAAGAGCAGGAGCTAGACCAGTACTACTGGGACACTTGTGAGAACATGGAGTCGAGTGACTCTAACCTCAGCTCCTTGCTAGCAGGGCTCACTGGTAAGCAGCCACGCTGACAAGGTTTCCTAGTATGCACACCATTCTGTACACTTCCTTGTAGGATGTCCTTAGGGAAGGGAGTCTCCATGCACATATGCAGTAATCTGCTGGGTTAATAGCAGTGAATTTCTGACTGGCAGAACAGGTCTGACTTTCTCCAGGACTCATTTGCAGAACTGGCCTGGGCTTGGGTCCATAAGTGCGTTACGGATGCAGTGTACAATATAGAGTGCAACAGAGGCAGTGCTGTCTCCACCTCTTCTTCAGGCACAGGGAAATAAAACTGAGTTAGAACAGCCTGGCTCTGGGTTAGTTTTGGATAGAATCTAGTTTTTGGTAGAATTCTTACGTGCAAGATAAGAGAGATTTGAGGGCTCTGGTAAAAGACCAGACTTCATTTTCTTAGCCTCTTTGTCCATATGCTCTGAATGTATCTTAAATCTTTCTCTCTTTCCTTAGCGCTCACAGGCAGAAGAGGTGAAGTAAAGGGAATGCCAGCAACTACACTTTCAGCTTTGCAAGTCACTAACAGTCTGGAAGGAGACTGAGGTGTGTTGTCAACCTAAACCAGAGAATCTCAAAAAGGCACAGAGATGGACCAAAATGGAAAGGCTTGGGGTGCATCTCTGTACTCCTCCCTTCTCTGAAGCAGTGAATGCTGCCAGCACAAGAAACTGAGTTATGAATTCACATTAAAGGTGCAACACTGGGAGCTGGTAAATAATGTGAATGCAGGATTTGAAAGGACGCGTGCTGTAACTGAGTAAGCAAATGGAAAAAAATTCTAAGGTGAACTCCTTAGGATCCTGAAATAAAGGGACAGAGCTGTGAGTGTCATGAAGTGTGACTATCATGAACTAGGAGAATACGGCAGGCTAGCATTTTTCTTCACTGACTTCCTCTGTGGTGGCTTCGTCACGCTGGCAGCTGGGTTACGGTTCCCCAGGAGGAAACAAAATGAGAATAAACACAAATTTCTAAACTGATTATGCTACCTGGAGCTGTGCACTTCACAAACTAGCTTTCCCAGCTGGGAAACCTAGTAAAATACACACTTAAGATATTTTCTTACCCATTCTTCCCACCAGTATTTGTCTGTTGATGGTATCATGGTATCATGGGTAGAAATGCTAGAGTTGGCCCAGTATTCATTACTGAATGGTTTGCTACTTTCCTTCTACATCACTTTTAAGTAGTAGTTTTGAAATCTACAGTCTGGGGCATAACAATAGATATTTCAAGGATGATACTTTACAGTTCTAAAAGTACCTTTCTTCCAAGAGTCTCAGAGCACTTTTCAACATGCATTACCAACCCAGTTCTTGGTAATAAGTAGGTGTTTTTTCCATTTTCAAAAATGAGAAACTTAAACTGCATGGAGATTAAGTGAACTGCCTGAAGTAATTGCAAACCATCTACTTTCTGGAGCTTCCTTTTTTTGAATCTTTTTCCTTGCCCTTTCTTTTTGCCCTCCTGGACCATTCTCAACCTTCATTTCCTTTCCCCTCTGTTTATAGTAATCTGCTCAATGCAACCTGATATTGTTCCTAAATTTAGAAAAGAAATCCTGTTCTCCACTTGCAACTTGGATGTGAGTTTGTGTTGTGCAGAGGTGCTCTCCTGATTCAGGTAATAACATACATTAGTGCTTTTCAAAGAGCTGTATTTATGTAGATGGCTTTAAACTGTTATTTCCATTTTATAAGTTTGTGTGTGGGTGAGGAGGATTAGACTGTAGATAAGTAAAAGAACGCAGGTGTCTCAGGTGTCTCTGATGTGGGATATTGAATTGGAGGGATACAGTTTTGCAAAGATGCCAAGCACTTACTGCTCCCGCTACTTTGAAAGTGGAGACCACTTTGAGCTTGCACTGAGTGTTTCTCAGTGGAACACTGGCCAACATGTTGTCTGGCATCTTTCTTTAATCTAAATCAACAAATATTTTCCTTCAGAAGGGTGCTTTCTTCAAGATAAGAGTAATTGGTTTCACTGTCACTATATATCTCTGAATTAAACTGTTCTTACATTGATCTTAAAATCTACTTCTTAAGATTAACATTTTAAAATATTTTTTATGTGAAATAAAATGCTGACAATCTGTTTGCACAGTATACTCCTCTGTAAGTGGAAAAGGAAAATCTCTGGGAGCTTTTTGGTCATCACTTACGCTAGAACTGTAAAAATTCTCTTTTTGACATTTTTGTCAAAAATCTAAATGCTTTTTCTTTTTACCTGTCTCAGAGCACTTTTGCAAGAGCAGGTTACCAGCTGGCTATTCAATAAATCCTTTGGACGGTTGTCCACATTTTAGGACGTGGTTCCCGTGAGAAATCTGCAGACTGGATTATTTCCTGACTCCTTTTAGCATTTGAATGTGATTCAAAAAGGAGGGAACATAGACATTAGTCAGAGTATTAGCCTGAGAAGTACATATCTGGGTTTACTGCTCTACGAGCTTCCTGCGTGACTGTACAGAAGAGACTGTGCATGTCTACACTGCAAAGTCACTGGAAGGAAACCGTCCATGTTCCTATGGCACCATGGAGCTCAACAAGTTCATCCTTCCTGTTTCGGATTGTGTCTTTGCGAGGGTCTGCAGTTGGCAGTGCACGCACCCTCTAGCTGGTTTTGAAGTTCCTACCCCAGCCTGCTGGGACAGGTTGTATTCAGGCATGTGAAGAAGCATGGGAGAGCTAGAAAATCTGTGTGACACTGGCATTGGGAATGTGACTGTCTATACATGCCTATATCTTCAAATCGGGAACAAAAATCAATAGTGGTGAATCCATGTGGAAGGAAACTGCCAGCACTCAAAATCGAGGCTGAACTTGAGCCAGAAGCGCTATCTTCTAAGGCAAGTCTTTCTTCCCGTGTTAGAGAGGAGAGGAGAGGAGAGGAGAGGAGAAGGGAAAGGGGAAAACACAGACTGTTTTATCAAGCCTATTTTTTATAATTCTATGGATTTAAATAAATTTTTGTTCAGGAGAATTAAAGGAGAGAAGTACTGTGGAAGAGAAGACCAAAATTGACTGAATCGTTCACATATCATTCAACAGTGCCATTTCTAGGGTGAAATGCACTGCTTTTTTCCCCTCACAACAGTTTAAGACAGATGTCCAAATGAAACAGCAGGAGACATTTATACTAAATTAGGTGAATATGATCATATGCATGGCAATTAAATGAGAGCTTCTTTGCAATTTCAGTGAAGCAATTATGCAAATAAAGGATGCTTATGGCTTTCAGTTAAATGAGAGAAAGAGAGAGAGAGAGAGAAAGAAAGGAAGAAAAAGAGGAAGAGGGAGGAAGAAAGAAAGGAAAGAAGGAAGACAATATCCGTACATAGCAATAATAAGACATTATGCAAGAATAATTTTCCAATTTCAGTGCAAAGAGTTTATGTATTTCATGCAGTAGTGTTATTAATAGCTAGCAAGTGTAAAACTGCCATCTAGACAAGGTTTGTAGACAAGCTGACTTTGTTGGAAAAAACAGGCAAGCTTTTGGACATTCACGTCTTCAAGCTCCTCTTCCAGATCTGGTCTGATAAAGAACCTGTCTTTTCCCTATAAAACTCTATATACTATGATGAGCTACAGAACCATAACAAAACTAGAACGTGCTTTGTACAGAGATTTGGGCGAAACCTATAAGCTTCAGTATCATCTATGAAATGACACATTATAGTGCTTTAGCAAAAACATACCACCACACCATATAGGGCTTTGGGAAGAAGAGAAGTATGAAATACTCATTGCCCTTTTTGGGGGTGGAATGGAGGGAGGGTAATACACCTTGCTTAGCAAGACCATTCTCCACTTTGTATTTGTTTCCTGTGTCAATATTAGGTCTTTGTAGCGGCCAGTCTATCGGTCTACCTACTCATTCACCTATTTACTCAAGATTATCATCAGTCAGGAAACATGCTAGATCTTATGAAAATAAATTCTCTTAGGATTTTGTCTCAAGTTTCTTCATAATATCTTACCACTTAATCACATTCATTTTGCAAAATGTACTGCATCTGATTTAAATAATTCATCAGCTTAGAGTGTATCTATCTCAGCAATCACTCACAGAATGACAACTGTTACAAGAGCCTATAATTTATTACTATGTTTTGATGGAAATAAGAGGCTCGTGCGTGTTATTCCTCCATAGCAGCTCAGAGTAGGATATGAAAGAGCAGAAGGACTAGAATTTTGTTTAAAAAATGTAAATTTTACACATCTCGAAAGCCCTGAAAGCTTCAGTATCCAGCTTCATTTCTGCCATGTCCGTATATGCTTTATCTGCCCAGTCTGGCATTTCACAATGGGAAGATGTGGAGACAGGACTCAGTGGTCAAGATGTTTTCAAGGCCTTGCTCTGCTTTGGAGCTGAGAATAAACACAGTCCCCGAATACATGCCTTACGCCGCTGCCTCCTGTGTCTGAGCGAGACTTGTCCTGGTGGGGATGGCTCAGCACACCCCTCAGGCTCTGCCCCTTTAGGGGACAGTAGAGGAATATCTGGTTCATGAATCACTCCAAAGATTGGTTTTTGATCAGCTCAAAGCCATCAGGAGCAACTTCATCAGGTGTGTCTGACCCAAGCAACATCGCAAGGTGGAGGTACCTAGATGCTGAGGGGGATTTAGCTGCCAGCCATCATTCGACTTAGATTGAAGGGGAATCTGCAAGCTGGAAGGCATTAAAAAGAGTAATCTTTTCCCTTTTAATCCTTTTGCTCAGACAGTAAGGGGAAATCACCTTTGTGGAGGTTGTCCTTGGTTCAAACCTAGCTGCTAGCCCAAGTGAATGCATCATTGTCAGGGGCTGCGGAAGCTGACAGCCTGATAGAGGCGAGGCTGCTGCAGCTCCATGTCTCCGGGTCTCACCAGTAGTGAGGCTGAGCATGTATTCGCAACAGGTGCACACACACAGGCTGCTTCAATCCCTGGCTCCCAAGCCTCTTATCCTGCTTGCAGGGTAGTCCAGCTGGATGCTAACAATCGATTACACACTGGCGCACACACCTACACAACATGCATGTGCTCCAGTCCCTCTGGATGCCAGAACTTAGACCTCCACACCCACACGCACACAGAGTCCCTCACCCAGGGAAATAGGTAGAAATGGAGCTGATTGAGAAGGGAGGACAGACAGCAGTGGTCGGGTGCAGGGCATGGCCAGACAAGCGTAGTGACCGGCCACCAGTTTACACACAACTGGACCCTTTTATCCCCTCTCTCTCTATTTTCCCACACTTGTTCCTCCCCAGACCACCTTGATCTCTTCTTTTCCCTTGGGTTCCCCCCTCTAAACACTGGATAATAAGCCTTGTCCCAAAGCCTCTCGTTCGCTTATCTTGCTGGGCTTCACACCTGGACCATGGAGCTGCTGAATCTCCTGGGACAGCCCTGGAGGGGCCGAGGCCAGGGCATGGGCTTGTTTCTTGAACTGGATTACTGGGGCTCCCTGGCCTGCTACTGTGCCTCTGTGACCCTTGCTGTTTGCAGGGATGATCCTGTACTCGCAGGTCCTTACAGCCATTAGTAGATATTTTCAGGTTTGCCTACTGCTACCCTTGCCCTCAAGCACTGTCCGTCACTGACCACTGTTTGCCATCACTTATCCCTGGAAGGAAATGAAATGTGGCTGTGTTTCAGGCCTTTGGCGGGGAAAGTCTAAATAAATATTAATCAGTAGGCAGATGTAGAAGAGAGAGCTAATAAAAAACACATCTTCTGGAAGGCTCTCTGTCCACCATTAAGTAGTTATGGGCAGGAGGATAACTTTAAATTAAGGTTCGACTGAAAGCATTGCTCTACTATTAAAAATGATGAATGGGTCCAGCTATGTTTTCAGTGACCTGCTGTAAGCATGGTATAGGCTGCCTTAGTAATAAATTGCTAGCAGGTGGCAGTGCTCTGAAACATAAGGTAGGCAGCTCAGACTTTTGTTTCTCTTCCTACCTGTCTTGTGAGAAGGGGCACCCTCATGCTTTCTTGAGCAACAGGAGCTTTAAGTCCTCTAAGACTTGGTCATCTTCTGCTGCGGTTGCTAGGGCAGCTCGACGTTCCCCTTCACTGAGCTTCTGCCTCAAGGAGGACCGTGAACATCAGGCAAAGGCCCAAGCGAAGGGCAGGCCAAGGACGCATGAATGAGTGACCTCCAGCGTCTCAAAAACAAACTCGTTATTTTCCTCTCCTGCAGCCCAGATAGCTGGATCCCCATTAGCAGACAGACTTGGCTTTATAATTAGATAGATATGAAAGAGTCTCGTGGTAACACATTTTAGACTTTGCTGGCACTTTTCTGTGAAGATTTCCAAGGGGACCAGGAGATGAGATGGCAAACTCAGGCTCATCCTTTGGTTACGTTTCGGTACAGCACATAGCACAAGGGGCAGAGCCATCCTGGACAAGAAGGAAGAGCTCCCAGCAATGGCAGAGTTTCAGTCCCTCACTGCTGGTTTCCACAAACCAATGCTTTAAGATAACAGCAAGTTATTGAGAAGGGTAAATTTCCCTAACCAGAGACCTTCCTGGCCTCTCAATCTGTTGAGAAAAGAGCTAATAGAGTGCCATCATCACAGTCGCTTTCTACACATTTAGGTACCCAGCCTCAAAGATCCCCAGGAGAGAAAGAGCTCAGGGTTAATCCCTTAAGCACTGTGCCTTATGAGGAAGCCTTCCACCTAATACAGGTCCTGATCCTGGCATTCAGCCTGCTGTCCTAACTCAGTTACAAATTAATGCTAGAGATAAATGTTATTTATTTCTAATTCATTACTAAGGCACCTTGTAACGGTTCTCAAGAAAGATCATATTGGCATGTGTCTGGATGCAACACAGCCCTCCTTAAATCACACTGAAAGCAAATTTCTCTCATGCTTGTAGCAAATTACTTCAGGCTCAGTGCTGGTACATAAGGAGAAAATTTGTTACCCTTCTGGAAAATCAGTAGGTTCTTGGCAAACTGGGTTTG